CAACTTTAGTCGTCAGACTGGTGATTATGCCTCGTTGTCCATGCCCGATCTTCGTGTCATGGCCTTGGCTTATCAGATCGAGCTCGAGTACAATGGCAACGCTCGCCTTCATGACAAGCCTCGCAAGCCTCGAGGTCCTGGCTCCAGCGACAAGGTTTGTTGGGCGGCTATGTTCATACCTATCCAGAGTCTTCTAGAGCTGTCTAGTCCATGGTTGTGGCAGGGCGGACCCTCGGCGCGTGTTTTGTTTTGGGGTTTTTAATATCCCAAACAAGTTCTGACTGAAGATGATCTGGCTTACCGGTTCATTGAACCCTGCCCGGTCCAACCGCCTTAGCCCTGCCGCTATGGACTGGCCTGTCGCCGCAAGCACGTGTGCTGGTATCAGCATCCTGAATCACGTACGTTCACCTGTTTCGAGCATGTCATCAACTTGTTCGTCATCGTTTTTGCTGATTGGACGCTTCCCCTGCTGACACATTCAACAGCCGAAGAAGCCGAGGCCATGGCTCAGGCCACCTCCCATGCAGACCGTGCTGCGTTTGGTCATGGTACGCACCCTCACTTGCAAATTTACATGTGTCTGTGGAAGCCCACACCACTCATTTACATGCCTCCTTGGCGCCGCCCCTGGCATTCTCGACGACAGATGCGTCAACAGCCAACACGAGTGCCGGCGCAACCAACGAAACAGAGGCAGCAAATGCTCCTGTGAGCGTGGAGGAAGACGAGGATGATGATGGGTCAGGCTGGATTGGACCTAGCAACGTGGACGATGTGACCAAGCAGCTGCGCTCAACACTCACCGTGGCCAAACCCGACGCCAAGGTGGCGTGTCTCACAGCCGATTACGCCATGCAAAACGTGATGCTTCAAATTGGCCTCAACGTGGTCTCAGTTGATGGCATGTACATCAAGCGCGTCAAGTCCTTTGTCCTGTACTGCACCACCTGTATGACTCACACAGCCAAGACCATGTTGCAATTTTGCCCAAGCTGTGGTGCCGCCACTCTCATCAAGGTACCGGCGCTTTCGCCCCTGCTTGACCTTGCTGCTTCGGCTCCTCGCATTGCAACTCCTCACTGCTCGCTCTTTTTTGAACATCTCACGCGTATGCGTTTGGCTCTTGTTGTCGTCGCTTGTAGGCATCTACCTCTGTTGATGGCGATGGCAACACGACAGTCGTGGTGCCCACCCTGCGCAAATCTCAGACTCGTGGATTGCGCGTATGTTTTATGGGCTTGCTTACAATAAAACATTTGTGTTACACTCCCTCTTGCCACGAAACCAGGCTGGTGATTAGCTGCTCGACTCGAGTTTATGCTTGCCCTATACTCTCTTTCCGTGGTGTGGTTTAGTATTCCATCCCCATGCCCAAAGGAGGACGTACTTCTAATCTGATTCTTCGGGCTGACCAGCCGGAGATGCTGAAGCAACAACGCAAGGTGGGCGAGAAACAAGAAAACTGCATGCGGATGTCCTTGTGTTGGAGTGTCGTCGCCATTCCTGACTCATGTGCCCTGGCCACAAAAAAAAAAAAAAAAAAAAAACTGTATCTTGTTCGATCATGTAGGAGAAACCAGTCAACATGTTTTCCGACGAAGCTGCCATCGGAAACAATCCTTTTGGCAAGGTTTGTGGCTGTGCCGAAGCAAACGTTCAACTTTCGCTGCCAAGCTTTTCCAATCCATCCTGTCTATCTCGGCCCAGCCTCAAGTGTGCGTTTGCCTTGTCTCCTCTAGGTCCACAAGGTCAATGTTGCCAAGGGCGGTAGCATTAATCCGCAGCGCAAGGTTGTCGGCTATGGTAAACACAACCCGAACGAGAAGAAACCTACTCGCAAGGGCAAGCGCAACAAATGAGTGTTTCGTTTCGTGGTGTGTTGCTTCATGTCTGTGAGGAATTGAAAGGCGCAGCTTCCAGTGGCATTTGCGTTTATTTTTGGCAAAGGAAAAGAGGATTATTAATTGGGGAAAGAGAGATAGTGTGTGTGAGACGGAAAGAAGGGATTGGTCAAAAAGGGAGGGAGCAAATGCCAACTTGTCACCAAGAAACAGCATTCAGAGTAGAGAAGAACGGGGAGGGGAGGGGAGGACATTATAGAGGCTGGCACATCGACACAAGCAAGTTCGACTCGCGGGTCGGAAAGCCAAGGGCAAGACAACAAAGCCGGGTCACAGCGGCTATGCGACGACACAAAAAAACAACAACAATGGCAATGCTGAGCTTCAAGTTCATTCCAAAAGCTTGAAGCACAGAGGAACCCAAAACAAGTCCAAGCCCAAGACAGATGGCATTCGAGGGGAAGCCAACTGTGGGACGGACATTGTGACGATGGGGCATGCCGGGGCCTGTCACTTTACAGAGGGAGCCGGGACTTTTTAAAGTCCAAAGACTTGCCTCCACAAACGACAGGAGGGGAAAGAAAGAGAAAAAAAAATGCACAAACAATCAGAATAAGCGAGTTCACGGACGAACAAACAAAGTGATAACCCCCATGCGTGGGAAGCCTGCTCGCTGTATGCGTATTAATCGTGAACACGACAATAGGCTCGTCCAAAGGGCAGACATTAGGATGCAACGTCATTGCTGCCAAAGACCGCGTGGCGGGCTTGAGCATGGAGAATGACACCTGTTTGGGCGACCAGTTCTGTGCGACGGATGAGGAGCGCGAGCAGACCTTCAGGCCCGCTTCTGCTCTCCTCTGCACTAGGCAACGGCTCTGCCGTAAGACCGAGGCGCAAACAGAACAAGGGGTCTGACCCGCCAAAGACGAGGCCGCGCGGCGGCACGTCTGCTGTCACAGCGTCTTGCAATGGGTCAACCGGGGCCAGCGGTGTGGCTGCAGTATCGCCGTCTGAAGATTGGCTGGTGGAGCGTGTGGAGACAAAACCAGCGTCCTGGTCTGCTGCAACCACAGTGGAGGAGGACTCAGTCCTCGTTTGTAGCGTGTCGCGCGCAGGGCGTGGCGTGGGCGTGGTGGGTACAGACGTTGCCGGGCCGGCAGGGGTTGCAGACGATAAGGCACCCAGGCCCGGAGGCTTGGACGTTTTGGAGGCGTTGGAAAGGGTGGGAAAAAGACGTGCCGGCCCTTGATTCAAGTGGGATACTTCCAAACTGGGCGACATGGGCTCCTCATCCTCAGCGTCCGAGTAATGAGCTGAAGAGAGGGGGCTGGAGGCTGGGCTGTGGAGGGCCGAAATGGCGTCTTCCCCCTTGGACGAGGAGTGAGAGGCCAACGATTCCAGATCCTCGCCTTCATCCGATCCAAACATGAGCGCCCGAGCAGGGGTAGCACCGTTGCCCTTGGCTTTCATGAAATGTGTGTGAGCCTCCTGTGGATCAGCCAGGTGGACTGTCCCCATTGGCCCGGGATGAACGGTCCCATGATTCCCAGCCTTGACCTTTTGCGCAAAGGATAGAGTGGGGGTCCATTGACGTTCCGAGGGAGTCGGGGGGGCTTTGCCCACGGGTTCGAGCTATGAGAAACAAACCACGAGGTCAAGCAGATGAGCTGAGCTGAGCTGCAACCTGAGACCGGAAACAAAGAGGCGATGGCAGAGGCCAGAGGACAACTGGACCACAACACAAGGGAAGCGGTGGGCAGCAAAGGCCGACACGTGCTCGTTCCCACGCAGGACACAGTGGTCCCTCGCACCCAGTGGTTGAGATTGAGGCACGACGGGAACCGCAAGCTTAGTCTCACCTCCTCGTTGAGGTTAATCTTGATGTGCTTGACGCGTTGACGACGCTTGCCCATTGTGTAGGTAGTCGAAAGAAGAACGGACGGAAGAGGCAAACAGAGCCAGAGGGAAACCAAAAGCAGACTAGTAATCACAAGGAACAGGAATCTAAAGCCAAGGAGCCGTGTCGACCAAGGGCGTCAAGCAAGGTGTGAGATCCAACGTCGAAAGCAAGGAAGTGAGTAACAGACGTCACTGAGTAAAAAACGTAAAAAAAAAAAAAGAGCCATGGTAGTGTCCTCACGGAACGAGGGCAGACAAGATAACGGCCGGCACCACCAAAGCAAACAAGAGCAGACACAAGCGGGGCAAGAGGGGAAGGGCCAGGACCAACTCGACACCCAGAAGCCCACGACCACGACCGCGCTGCACCCACATTTTGACAAGCACTGACACCCCAGTGTCACACCAAAGCCACAGCCAGCCATGCCCTCCCCCCTCTCCCCAACACCACACACTTAAACACACACGCACATGAAGACACCTGAACACCTCACCACCCCCGGGCGTCATGCCGGAACACGGGCATACGCCACCAGTGCCTGCCGTTACATCCCCTGCCCCCTCTCACACACACACACACACACACATACGTATCAACGTTTTCGTACCTTGTTGTTGTTGTTGTTGTTGTTGTGTTTAACGACTTTTATGATGATGATGAGACAAAACAAAAGAACGAAAAAAATGAATGAACTTTTTCTCTCTCTCTCTCTGTCTCTGTCTCTCTCTCTCACTTGTGTGATGAAAAGTGCAATGACAGTTGGTAGTTGCCTGAGCCCCAACGGTGTTGCCCAGGAGAAATTTGAGACGTTGTACAGTTGGTAGCGAAAGGGTGTTGTCAGCCAGTTTTGTTGTTGTTGTGTATTGGTCACACACACGTTGTGTGTTCAACGACAATCACAAGAATTGTCAGCATGACGATGGGGGTTCTCTAATAAAAAGTCGAGCATCTTCTTGCTGCTGGCAACGACGGCGGAACTAGCGGCCCACAGCACTGTCTTCATTGGCAGAAGCCAGGAGCTCAACAACCACCGGGAAGATCTAGTGCACACACACACCAACCAATTGATGAGACACGGCTCGATTCGCTCACCCGCCAACAACAGCAACAATAATCTAGAAAGAAACAAAAACATCAACAAAATAAATAAGAGACCACTGACCTTTTCCTTGGCTGACTCGGCCCAGATGGTATCGAGATGCTCATAATGATCCACGGCAAAGGTTTTGCTAACGATGAAGAAACAATGCACTTGAACGTGAGAAGCTGGAGATGCCCACAGATCCTTCGAGCCAAGCTGCAAGCGCCCAACACACACACACACACACACACACACACACACACACACACACACACACACACACCAGGAGCTGGGAAGTTGGCGCAGCAACCAGTTCATGTCCGTCAAATCATCGTCGGTTCCATCTGCCATCCCGCAACAGTCAGTTTGTTATCAAGCAGGCTACTGAAAGCCAGGCTCTTTTGGAACCCGCCGCGCAGAAGCAAGCAGACTACATACAGAAAAGAGCCATGGGACATCGAATCTGCCCAATCTCGTAGCTCTACGACATGCAACGCAGCCACGTGAGGCACTTGTCGGCATCAGCCTCGCCATGCTCGGTGAGTTTGAACCAGACATACCGCCGGCAGCATGGTGCGGTAGGCACGCTGCAGGTTCATCTGCTCATCAAACTGCTGGAAGCGGTTGCATGCTACAATTTGAAACCAATGCTAAAACACGAATGTGCAATACATGCCCAGCCGCAGAGCAGGATGAGTCCATCACTTTGACCTAAAATGAAATACCGCCGCTGTCGCTTCCCCCATCACACCGGCTGCGGCCCACCTACCACCACTGTCTTGACCGAGGTCACGGAAAAGAGATACGAATAAAGCCAGCCTTTGCGCTCAATGGGACCCAGTTGGTCAAGCTTCCAGTCAAACAGCTGCGCGCAGACCCGTGCGAAAAGAGCAGAAATTGGTCATGACCAACTCCAAAGAGAAGAAAAAAGAAAAAAGAAAAAAAAAAAAGCACCAAGCAGTCTCTCGCAGCGCGCGGCGTGCGGAGCGCCGTGGCGAATCACTTTCTCTGCCTGTCCGCATCTCCACATCGCAAGGTCATACCACGCGGCATGCAATGTCAATCAGGCGGGCATACGCCACGCGACTCAGGAGACTCCGCCAAAAGTGCACCCATGGCATCAGAGCACGAGTGCCAAACAAAAGGTAGATGGACTGAGGTGCAATGTGCACCACCGTCTGCAGCATGCCTAGAAACCAGAACACGTCAGATTGATGCACGTGTGTCTCAGAAAGCAGCACCCTCAAATGGGAGCCAACTGCGACGCGCAAGCAAACCTTGACGTAGCCCATTGGCTTTGGCGGCTGGCGAAAGAGCCACAAAGAGTCGGACCTAATGCAGGTGGTGAGAATGCCGATGGAGAGGCTGTTTGTGTGCAGGGAGGCGAGCAAAGCACCCACAAGAACACGCACCTTGCGCGCCACCTGGGGCAGGGCGGAGAAGCAGGCAAATCCCAGCGCCGTGCCCTGCGAAAAGGCTACGTAGCTCAAGCCCTCATGACCCGTCACCTCGAGAATGTTGGTCATCATGGTGGGCAAATCGGTCATGGCCATCTCATCCAAGGAAAAGTCCCAAAACTACAGGTCACACAATGCATCACGACCCCAAACAATGAGGTTGGCCTTTGAAGAAAGTATCGATTCCAAGCGCCACCCCGCGAAGAATGATGGCAAGCCCCATCAATACCTCAATATCAGCAGGCTTGAGGCGCTGGTGGCGGCTGCTGTACTTGTTACCGCGTACTATCCACCACATTGGCCTGGTGAGAATGGTGATGATGGACTTGGCGCTGCGTGCGAGTTTCAATTCAAGGCAACAGCTCATGTTGCGGACAAGCCGCTGATTGCTTACCGTTGCCGAGCCAAACGTCATAGCCTTGATCAGTGAGCTGAAAGGCGAGTGCATGCTCGGTTGTGAGCCACACGTCACTGCATTGCATCAGGCCATGCTGCAGCAGCACCGGCGGCCCGCGCTGCGCCGTATGCTTTTGGTGCTTCTGTCTCCCGCCAGCACATGGGGGGCCAAAGCGCGATCCAAATGTGAGGTCGAAGCTGTGATAACAGGCAAATGGGGGCCCCTCCCGGCAGCTTGGGGTGCTCGGAGCGAGGGGCGCAGGTGCGACGTACGGAAATGCGGTGCATGACCAGGATAAAGCCATCGTCAGTAATGGCAATGTGCTGCTCGCAGGCGTACCCATGATAGGCGGCCAGCCCAGCCGCGTTCAGGTCGTTGACATTGCTGTTGTCGGACGTATCCGCATCCAGGACTTGCCACTCTGGTCGTGTCAATCAGCAGGCACAAAAGGCACGACAGCGAGGCTTTGCATGAGTTGAGCAGCATTTGCAGAATATCCAGCGGTCCAGGTGAGGTGGATTTGGCAGTTGAGTGCCGTCTCCCAACAGTCTGCCCTGCACGCACCTTTGAGCGGGCCGGGAAGCAGAGAATTGCCCAGGTTCTGGACCAGGTTAATGACAAAGCTGGGCACGATCATGAGGCTGAGACGGGCAAGCTGCTCGAAGATCATGATGCTAAACGCAAAGCAGAGGCGCAGTACGCCCTGCAGCCCCAAGGCGTGCAGGCGGCTGCCGTACAACATGGTGCCTGATTCGGGAATGGTACTGGTACCCCAACGCCGTCGTGCGGCGACACCCAACGGCCAAGGACGAAGAATGCAAGTGTGAAAGGGGGAAAGGGGGAAA